TCTGCAATCGAAACGCCAGAATGCGCAACTGCAATTTGTAATTATATTTTATTCTGAGAAATTATTAGTTGTATCTTATTACATCTACGCACTTTACCCTGCAATCCCCGTGCATCCGAAACTTTACACCCATTTACCTTTTATACGAAGTAAAGAAACGACAGCTAAAGGGTTCAAACAACTACGCTCGAAAACAAAAACGAAGGGAGGAGGACTAGACATGTTGCTGGTTGTATGTCGATTTGCGTGAAGATAATATTGGCTTGTTCACTTGGATTCTGGGATCATGGGTTTGAATCCCGCTTTATGCATGGATGTTTGTCCTCTTTATGTGTTGCGCTGCCCTTTGTAGGTACAGGCCTTGCGACTGGTTGATCACCAGTCCAGGGAGGCCTATCAAATGTCTAAACGGATTCATGATTTCAAAAGTAATCCTGAATTGGAACATGTTGTAAGAGTAAGAGATGGTGATGATAAGACTGACTTATTGAACAGCAGCTATTTCACTAAGAGACCTCTGGTAACATTGTACATATTCCCAAGGGATTCGCGAATCACAGTTTTATAACCTGTGCTGTACACAGATCAACGCTTGTGTCGTATTTAAAGTTATTTAAACCGCCCTTTGTTTTCGACTTTATCAGCTTCATATGCCACGCTATACAGTGTCGAATTAAAAACTTAATGAATTCTGGATGATGTTAAAGGAAGCGTTCACAGCCTTTTTCATTCTGTCATCCCTAAATTTGAAGATTTCTGTCTTCTGGGTTGTTGCGCTGTGTAGTATGGTCGATGTTTACAAACGTTTCAGAGGTCATACTGCCTCCGTCATCAGGGCGATGAATCCAGAACCCAGAAGACAGAAATCTTCATACTCATCGCCCTGATGACGGAGGCAGTATGACCTCTGAAACGTTTGTAAACATCGACCATACTACACAGCGCAACAACCCAGAAGACAGAAATCTTCATTCTCACCGCTGTGAAAACCTCAAAACATACATCCCTAAATTTCCTTGAAGCCACTAAATCTGCGAAAAACCTCTGTCTGTGTAGGCAATTCCGGAGCAGTAATTAAGTCTTGGACGTCCGCGACGTTTGATGCCTGTCGTTTGACTGCAGGAAATATATCCCGTGGACCTCGTCTGTGAAATCTCCCCCAGCTGGAAGCCAATAGGAAACCAGTATTTTATCGTTACGTGCACGGGATATATTTAAGTTTACTCCATCGACATAGTAAACGAAGTATCGCTAACTTTGGTGTTCTCTAAGTCACGTGAAGACGCGTGACGAGCGACTGCGAAAGTAAGTCCGGGATTCGATTCACAGACCGACAAGGAACTCGGTTGATAAATGTATAATGCAGTGACGAAGTTAGAATAGTGCGGAATGAGGGGACTGTGTGGAAGTGAAGAGCAAAATAGGAATATAAGGCCAGTTGTGAAGATGCAATCGATAGGTGAGACGTGCGGAGAAATTTCAAAACGACGCACAAGTCAGAAACAACACAAAATCAAGTTTCCTCCTCCTTCAGTACTTTAGTTTTGCAGACAAGTGGTGTTTACGTTTACCAGCTCATTTATTATTTAACCAGTCTGGATCGATGTAATCCATGCCGGAATACACACGTGTCCTTTGTAAATTCTGAAGGTATCCAGCTGACGTACTTCTCAAATAACAATTTTTAATTAAAATATGCCAGTTTCATTAGTCTCTAACTATACAAATCGTAGCGATTTTAACTCCCCAAAAGCGACTAAAATAAGCAACCTCTAAATAATCTCTCAAATGTACAGAGTGATGTTGGAAACCTGCAGACGTGCAGTGTGCGAGCACCCTAATTTGTTTGCTTCACTGCGCTTTCCCTGAGGACCTATAATGTTAAGGAAGATGACGTCACTTCCGTCATGCCGGCGGGAACACCCCCTCCCCCATTTTCCCCGAAGCCTTTGCCATCCTGCGCAGCGTTCTGAAATATTTATGCAGCCGGTGATGAAAGTTCGGACATAACACTGCTGGTGATAAAGACACCAAGGGAAGCGCTTACCAGTACGAAAACAGATAAATTCTCTAAGTGCCAAGATTCCACATTGCTGAGTCGCTCTAATCGCTATCTGAGGCGTGAACAGCAAGGAAATTGTCCCAGAATGTCTGTACTACATTTTATTCGACGGGTTGATAAAAGGATGCTGAAGATGTAAGTTGGCCATTTAACAATTTCTGTTTTTCATTTGTGGCAAACATAAACCCTTCTGTTATTTCATGCTAATGCATATTTTATATCACTGGAAAGACACAAGTAGTTGGCAATAACTACCGAAAAATTGCATCTAAGATTGGTTTTACTCAACTTGTCACAGGCAAAATATACCTAAAGTGAAGAATTCATATCTCAGCGTGATATCTCGTGCGTAATACGGAAGGTGTTAACTTGCAAGTAGAGCAGTTCGAGAATGAATGGTTCTTTTTATCTTCGTGTCCCATATGGGTGCATCTTCACGGTTCGTGGTTTGTGGTTAAGCGTAGCAAATCTACCGTTCCTGGTTTGTTAGAGTATTGCAGTTGATTCAGTTAAAGTCATCATTCGTGATTGTTAACACGATAAACAAAAATTTAAATTATAAATTTTACAAAATTGAAAAGTCGTATTTCAGTGGAATATTTTTATTACCAAGCGTGTTCATTGAAGTCTTACATTACATCATTGCCTTCATGTTTGTTTATTCCAGATACAGATGCAAAACCAATCACACTCAGGTATAGAATCGGAATTTATATTTAATTAAGTATTCCCCATGTCAGAATGTTTTAAATGAAATTTCGGAGTCATTAATTTTAATGCTGTTTTTATAATTTTATGCTATTCTGTACATTTTATATAATGTAGCCTGCTGTATATGAGAAAACAAACATAATTATATTTGTGGTTTATCCTTGTTTAATTCGCTAGAAACTATTTAATGTTAATTCCAAGTACTAATTTTTTATCAAAACCCGTTGGTTTATGACATCAAATATGTGAACAAATAGTCGTGACCTCCCCATTACTAGTTACGTTTATGCACTTTGACCCTGTAGAACACACGAAATTACATTTAAATCTAACACCTAATGTTTGGAGACAACACTCTGTCTATACATCTCGGTATTCAAACCCTGGGTTGAGCATGAAAGGCGAGGTCTGTCTATTTGCACTTAAATTTCCTATGTCACAAAATCTGTCATAATGTATTACGCATATGTCTAACACGTCGCATAGATTACTTGTGCAGCTAAAACACCATAAAGCAGCATATATTAATCAACAGCGAAACTGTTGTGTCTTTCGCTTTATCTAGTTTCCTTTACAGTAAATTTTTCTAAACCTTCCTACTTTCACTTACTCATTTTTGTCCCTTTTCTTTTAACTTTGCGTTTAGCCTTTTCTGTGTAACTTCCTTTTCGTGTGATCAGTAATCAGCTTTTAATATCCCACATTCCATACTTGTTCTTTTGTCTGTCCAAATCCCTTTCCATAATATTTATTTTTAAAACGTTTGCTGCCTGCTATATGGAGATAATACATACGTGCATTCTGAACAACTTGGTTCTGCGTAGGAAAAGTGTAAGCTACATTTATTAGAGTTTTATCCCAGCATTCGCTTACAGTACAGACGTATTAATGGTTCAAGAACGCAAGTAGAATTTTCACGGCCTCTCGAAATAAATCCCTTTTACTTTAGTTCTTAGGTTTTCAACACTCTTCAAGCTACCCACAAGGTGTCTGGCTTAGAAAAGTCTGTTCTGGTTTTATTTGATGTTTGAGAGGATCAGCTAAAGAAACGTGTCCCGTCATCAAACAGTACTTAACGGTAACTATAAGTGGCTTTTCAACAATAGAATTGTGCTTTACCAAGGAAGGATATGCCTTTTGACAGAAGAATTTATGTTTAAGTAACAGAAACCAACAGACTACAGAATTCTAACCGTCGGTACATGTAGATTTTGCGCTGGATATCTCGATGTGTGTCATCCTGCCAGATGGCAGTACTGTCTGCCCACTGTTTCAGATGTTCAGCCGACCATACGATTACATCAGAGAACATTAGTTTATCCAGCGAACTTCCTGTGTCATAACTTGACAATCGTCGCTCGTTCCACAGTACGGATAAGAGGACAGTTCTTGGTTATTTTTAAATCTTTACCGCCGATAGTAATAATTTAGTGGCATTGCGAGTTTTCGGCGTAAAAGCGACATTAGAGCCATTTAAATTTTCGACCAAACTATTGTCTCAGATTCCTTGTTTTATGTTGACAGATAGGCTTATTGCACAATCAAGTCCGTATCTGTGTGACTGACTTTTTAGTCGGATTTTGTGGATTCTGATCAAACTTGGCATAGAAGTCACGGTACTAGACATCACCCTACCTGCTTTAATTTACTACCATAAATAATACGAACATGGAGGCCGCGATAAATTCTCAGGTTGCAGCAACACTAGCTCAAATTAATGTAGAATACTCAAAATGTGATAATGCATCTTTTAAAAGGGTGTAATATTTTGTTTTGGAAAGATTGTGTAGAATTAAAAAAGGTCGGCCGCGTAAATTCTACAAAAGCTGCAGTAATTAATTAATAGAAGTAGACGGAGATAGACTAAGAGCAAACATACTAATTTTGGGTGAATTGCTTTATATGTTGACAATTAAAATGTTCAAGTTGAAATAAATGAACATTAAAGTCAATAAGGAATGTGAAATGCAAACTGGAATATTCTTTTCAACTTTTTTTCCCAGTGTTTTATACGATCGAAATGGACCCATACTAGTTGGGGTTACAAGAGTCGAACCGAAGCTCTTCATCTCCTGACTACTCGCTGTATTGTACTTCACCGTCAGATGTAATTGGTCCATGGTTCTGTAGGCTGAGCAGGTCCCATCCGCCCTGCGGATCAATTGAATTCCCTGCCGACTTATACCTCAGTGCGTGTCTTCGGCATAAAAACGCCCCACGGTTTGAATTCACAACATGTCTGCTCATTGTTCAATGACGCGCTGTACTCGCTGCAAGGTCCTCGACCGTCTGTCCTGTCATACAGCTTGCCCCCATACGTCTACCAAGTTAGTGTATGGCTATTTTAAGTTGACTGATGAGGTTATTCGAAGCCGTTGTTAAAATAAAGAACTTAACATAGCCTCGAGTTAGATAGGAAAGTGAGGGCTTGGAAGGAGTATATTGTGGAATATCCTTGAGGAATTTCCCTGCAGATCCTGGGGAAAAAAAACGAAGAATGCTAACCAGTATAGCCGATATTCAAGCCAAAATTCAAACCGGTACCACTCGATTACACAACCAGAACTCTCGGTAATTTGTAGTTAGTTAAAAGACTTTGTATCAGCTGCAGAGATCAGGTCTATATATCACCACTAATACGAATCGTACTAATACCGTTAGTAACAACCGTCACACACAAGAGAGTGATTTTTCTTCGTCTCTTTCCTTGTAGTCTTATAAAGACTGTGGTTTAGGTTCGGCTGATCCCCCACCCAAGGAGTCCTAACTCTTGTCTTAATAATAATTTAGAAAATCTCTACATAACTGAAGGCTAAGACTCGAATTTTGATGTAACAAAAAGAAAAAATGTTGTTATTGTCTTATTGCTTTTCAAGGAATCCCGGCGCTTGTCTAGGTAAGAAATTAAAAACCTCTGCAGAAGAGGCTCGAATCTGACTGTAGCACAGAGAAAATACTTCTGATATAGAGTGATTTTTAGTGTTTTCAGCCAGCTCAATCCAAACGTAATCTTTATCATTTCGTATTCGTTTCTGTCTTTGTAGAGGCTTTCTTGGAAGTAGTCCCAACATATTCCTTAAGCATTTCTTCGCGTAGAAACCGACACAGCTGCTCTTGGGTAAATGAGGAAAAGAAATCATTGAAAACGGAATTATCGAGAAGTCTTTACCTGAGGTACAGCATTTGACTTCTGTTGAGGAGGTTGTGGTTCGAATCTCGGTTTGATTTCGCTGATTTTCATTCAGATGTTTTGTGTATTTCCATAGTTTTTCCACATAACTCATAGATTAATCACGTTACTGACTGATCTGTGTCGGGTTTTCTTGAAATAGAGTTCTGGTTTAGTTAAAAATTCAAATTTTTGTTGTAACTTTTATGATTTATAAAATTGTTGTAGTTCCCAACCAGTCCGCCACTGGTATAGTGTGTAAACGGTTTTAGATGAAGCAATCCGTTTCCGAGCAACGGATAAACAAGTGCACACACAACAAGAGGACATTTATAAATTATGTCAGTACTGATAACGCTAGTCCAGACAGATCTGGAGGAAACTTCGCTTAGGCCTATGAAAAAGCAGGGGTGTAGTGCTTTTCGTCACCAGCGTAATCTGTTCTGGTTGGTTCTGTGGTCTGTCAACCTCGTATTCAGTGACAAGGTCTACCGGCGATAAAGATGGCGTGTAGTCTGCGAGACTGCAGGGCCCAATAGTCCAAAAGATCATTTTTATACTCGCCACCTTGAAAATCCAAAATCTCACACAGAGACAGATTCGTTAACTCTGTCAAATACAAATTATTGTGCAAGATGAAATGTATTGTTCAATAATATTTACATTAATGCGATTCTTTATCTTGTAGATTAAGGGATTGTTTATTAACTAACGCAATGGATTTTATTTTTTAAAATTCGAAAAGTTAAATACCCCATAAGCATTAGTGCTTACTCTTGATTTGTTATGTCTTTAATTGAGCTTTACCGTCTGCATAGGTCAAATAGCGTCAAATGCTGAAAGGAACAAAGACAGACAAAAGGAAAGAGACAGGAAGAGGGGAAGATAGATAAAAGATGGTATAGAATGGAGGAAGTTTGTGGGTGGTCAGCTGAGAAAGCTACAGAAGCAAGCCGTCTTAGCCTCTTTCAAGATACTGTCCTACAGTTATTGGAACATATAAAATTTGACACGATATTTCTATAGAGTGGGAATTTTGATGGGAGTGAGCCATTACGGACACGATAATAGTAGCTGAGCTGGTCAAGAAATTTTTCCTCACCTTGTATAGAATCAGAAGGTTCCTTATCGTGATTTACGAAAGACAGCCACAGGCTCCCTTCCTGAGTCACTGCACTTCAGTCTGACAATTAGCACATTATTCCTTTGAGATCTATTCTAATAACATCCCAATTTATCTTTTCCATGAAGTTTTCCGGCTGAAAATTTGTATATATTCCTCCTCTTTCTCGGACCAAAAAAGTAAATTAACCCTGCAAATTTATGTCCTGCGTTCAAGGATTGTAAGCTGCGGTATTTTCTATCTTGATTCAAACACTTTGCGGAGAACGTTTCATTATTTGTTGAAGGATCAGTACTTACGTAAATGGTGTGATATAGTGATTAGTGGCTTCTAATTTTAATATAAATTACTTCAGCTCTAAGGTGAAACTCAAGATAGAAATTAGAATTGTGATAAGTCATTATTAAAAGAGACTGCGTGTTTGATGAAGTTAAGTGAGATCTTTTTAACCCGGCTTGTGTTATTATTCACACAGTGTCTTTATAGCTGCCTCGGGGTCTGAAGATGGTTTACGCTCAGCCACTCTCACCCCCTTCATCCCCCCTCCATCCCCCCTCCCCGAAGCGCTGTGTCGTCAGCTTCATCATGTGGATAAGATTCATTACTTCTGTTAAGTGCGTTCCACTTTTGTGCCACATTAACTGACTTAAGAAACCTTGTAACAAGAAAAAAATAAGCGCCATACTGAGTAACTAAATAGATGTAAATTATTTATAGAACCAGCTAAATTATTAACTAAAGCTTAAGGCGTGTACATCATTACAGGTCGCATCATAAATTTAACACTGGGGTAAAATTTAGCAGAGTTGTAATGTAAAAATTACCTTTAACCCTGAAGAAGGAAGCAGAATGTACCTCCGAACGTACACGTCCACGCCGTTACGACCCAGACGACCAAAATTGACATCTTTACAGTCATCAGAAAATGACCTTTAGTACCTTAATAAAGTTACTCCTGAGCGCCTGATAAAACAAATAGTAGTTTTCTGAGTAACTAATTTACAAACTGACTGACTGATTTACTAAAGATCTAACGAACCGCCTGAGTAACTTGGACCAAACAGTTTACTTCGTCAGTAAACAAAAAACCTGAATAAATTAAGCAATCAGGTGTTTAATCAGTTAAATAAATGAGCAAATAACTAACTGTGTGGTTAAATGACTAACAAACCAAAGTAGAGAGACTGTAAATAATTACCAGATAAAGTGACTGGTTAACTAACCAACCAGCTGCTTGACTAAGTAAGTAAGTAACTAAGTAACAACCAACTGAGGGAGTAAGTCACTAACCAACTGAATGCCTGATTTATAGAAGTTGTACTCTGTACAAATGAACAAATGATCACTGACATACAATAGGTACTTACAAGGTAGTGTATAACCATGTTGTCAAATCAATGAATAATTAAGCGACGTGCGGGTGGCATTACGCACGTTTACACCAGCAAACACTCAAGTAATTATTCAGCGCGCTGTGAGCAGATTAGCGTCAGTGGCGTGTAGCCTGCCAATCAGTAGCTCAAGTACACTGACACCTCTCGACAACTTAGCTGTTTAAAAGGATTTCAACCATTGTTCGTAATTAACTGACACACCAATTGTGTTTGTTTATACAAATACTAGCTGTTATTATTTTCCATCATTATGATGAATTGGGCGAACATCAACGAAAGAAAGACGTAGAGTGTAGATGAGAGAATAATATTAAAATGTTTCTTGGAGAAATAAGGTATAAAAATCGAATTTGAATAGACTGGTTCATGATAGAGTTCAATTATGAGTGATTTAAAACACAGTATTGAGTCTTTTGACTCAATAAAGTGGGGCAATTTTTTTATCGGACTAGGAACAGAACTTATTAAGGAAGTTCCTTCACAATGCAGTTAGTGAGTTGTTGAAAGATCCCATAATTTCCGTAGTCTTTCTATTGTTCAGAAACATGAAAGTTTGCAACTTTAAATCGTATGTCCTACTGCGGTAGACCCATAAGTCTGTGTTTATAATACGTATGCCACCGTATATGTTCACATTTTTACAATGATTCAGCAGATGTCGCCATCTGATCCGAATTATTAAGCGCAATAACTGTTTGCTGTATTTAGTTTTCTCACTATTATGTCTTTATAACAGTTTCGTATTTTTCAAACATCTAGAACCATGAAATCTGTAAAACACGTTTTGCTTAGCGGTGTTTTCTTTTTTACTATGTTGCAAGTTTGCAAGACCGTCAAGTTATTTTTTTTCTGTACATGGTAAAAAATCACTAAGACGGTAACGTCTATATTAGAATGATGTTATTAGAGTTTTACCAAAATCTGTGAATAATTTATTACAATATTAAATCTTATATCAAAGATCAGAGGTTCTCACTGCGTTGAATAATTTATCGCTGTCTTCTGGGTTAAGAGAGCGTGTAGTCTTGTAGGTGTTTTATGACATTCCTTAAAAACGTATCATCTCAATTCAAACGTATGGATGGAGACGATACTTTCCTCCGAAACGCTGGTAAACACCTATAAGTCTTTTCGGCTTCACAACCTAGAAGATCATGATCGACATCAATGTTTGTATTAATAATTGAATCAAGATACAAAGATGGACAGACAAACGGCGCTTTGGAATAGGATTCCGATTAAACTAGTCCGCTTCCGATGTTGGTGGAGTTTATAGTGACGTGGTATTTGTGGTAATTGAGCTTGTTTGCTCTCTGGCACTCCAATGTCTCTGCCTCTGACGTGAAGTTGATGTTTTTGTTATGGTGTTATGTTCACGTATGGTATTCATTAGCTAATAAAGACACGTTAATTTGTGTGAAATTAGAGTGTGGTGTAATAACTGTAGATGTTCTTTTACAAGTACAAAACCAATCTGCTTGCTGTATACTATATGCGATATAATTACCTGCTGATACTGATGCAATGTCAGTACATGTGTTGGACATAACCTAAGCAATCCAGGCCTTGCCATATTAAACTAAACATAATATCATAACCTATATTAACACAATTCAACTAAATATCATATCAGATATTACTTAAGGAATTTGAATCAATTCTAATTTAATTAATGAAAACCTTGCTTAATCTACAGAAACCTAGCCTAACTTTATGTTGTATTATGTTGTAATCCCTGACTATAAATGTCCCTCAGTTCTGCATTTTCGAACTCGGTTCCCACTTCGTCGGCTAGCAATGGGGACAGGCCCTGGTTCTGCAGTCATTTGCATTGTGCATGTTGTCAATTTGCTCACACATCTTAAGTCGATTTAGTGCACTTGGAAAGCGTATCGTCGTAAAAAGGGGAGCCTGGTTTACACGTATTCAAATTTCATCAGCCGAAATCTAAGTAATGGTGAAACTGATACGGTTCATATCCTGGCAGGGGAAACGGGAGAGCCATAAAACACACCAAACATTTCACATGTCATGACAGACAATTTCAATATAACAGATTACAGGCTATTAGCCAGTCGTTTAGTTTTCTTTATGTATTTCGCAGATACATAACGTGTAGATCTAGCATAAGATGGGCTGTAGTTTTGGGCGATGGCGTCTGCTGTAGCTAAGCGTATCTCATCATCCCTCAGTCAGCAGTAAATTTGATTAGTCATTGTGCTGTAGAATCTCAAAGTCATTCGCTGTCTTCCATAAAGATTCTAGTAGTATTCCAAACAGAAAATATTTTGAGATTTGAGTGTTTTGTGGTGGTGAAGTCGTCGATGTTGGTCTTCTGGATCGAAACACTGGGAGAACTCGAGACACAATTGTATTCTTCTCGCTCGCTGACAGTAGCTAGGGCCGATGGGTTGGACGACAGAACCGTCTCCGTGTGAAAGGTGCTCGCTGTGCGCATATCACAAATCTCAGTACAAAACTGAGCGCGTTCAATTTCCGCACACTGGATGGTTAATAGTTTCTGCGAGACGAATTCAGCACTCTCGTCACGTACAGAATTCCGCGTCGTACAATCGGATCGGATAAAAGAGTGTCCCTTCTTCAAAGTTCGATACACTTAGTGATGGTTATCTCTGTGAGATCAAGTTGTGCTGTACACGGGCCTGTATCTCAGATGGGAGAGACAAAAACTGTATAGGCCTACATAAGTTTACGGCGAAATC